GTTTTTGTTTGTTTGTTTGTTTGTTTTTGTTGGGTTTTTTTTGTATGTGTGTTAATTCATTTGTAGACCCTGTTTCCCAAAGAAGCAAAATATTTCCTGTCTTGAACCACCGCAGAAAACCACAGCTGTTGGTGAGTATGGGGGCTGCAGGTGGAGAAAAAGAGAGATTTGACTTCAGTCTTTTGGGCTGGGGATTCGTAGGCAAGCAAAGTGACAGGACCCGCGGGAACAGGGTTAAGCTGAGGCAGGGGAAATTTAGGCTTGACATAAGGAGGGGGTTCTTCACAGAGAGAGTGGTTGCACACTGGAACAGGCTCCCCAGGGAAGTGGTCACTGCACCGAGCCTGTCTGAATTTAAGAAGAGATTGGACTGTGCACTTAGTCACATGGTCTGAACTTTTGGGTAGACCTGTGCGGTGTCAAGAGTTGGATTTGATGATCCTTAAGGGTCCCTTCCAACTCAGGATATTCTATGATTCTATGATTCTATGAAAAAAATTAAAATAATCACATTGATCCTTGTCTGCAGGAATGGGAGGATATGAACTGAACATCCCTGGGAGTTGCCTGGCCGTGACCTTTGAAGACAAAGTATTTTGTCTCTTCCCTGTTTCTGCCCCAGGAGTTGTCATCCACAGGAATACCTCAAGGTCAAAGTACAACTTTCTTACCAGTAAAAACAAGATGCTGAAGTCACAGTGGGGTGACCAACAGGAAATTTTGGCCACGTCTGAAAGAGCTGCACTTCCATTTGGGAAAAGATGTGTTTATATGTTAAACTGAGTTCAACTGCAAGAAATACTGCTGTGCAGCTGGAAACATCAGAGGACCAGAGGTCTGTTTGAAATGTCAGGGAAGAGTGGAAAATTCATTACAGCTTTGGCAGAAGGAGATGGATGTGGGAAGAGAGGGTTTTCATTACAGATACAGTCTGATGGTAGCCTTACCAGGAAATAACTGTATATTTGTATTTTTGAAGGCAGGTTTCCAGCCTAATAATGCCACTATTGCTGTCCTTTGAGAGCTGCTATGCCTCTGAGAATGCCACGCGCTGCACCGCTTGCCATAAAGGCACAATTGTGCTGTCATGCAGAGTGAGGGCTTTGCTCAAACAGAGCACATCACCACGCAGCATGTACGTGGATACAGACACGCATGCAGGGTGTGCAGGCAGAGTGCAGAGCAAGCTTACAGGGAAATGAACCTCTATTTCATATTGCCTTTTATGTTGCATAAAATATCAGGGTCACAATTTCAAGTTATGAATGCCTACACTGTTATATCCACATGTTCACTTCCATTTGGTGCACTTTGAAAATAGCTACGTGTGCAAAATAAATTCTTATGCATAATAATTGTCACCAGCAGATGTTTTGTGCACCATTCTGACTACTGAGCAACATCTCCCAACAAATGCAGAATCCTACTGCACATCCACCCACTGCACAAGTGCAGTTTTCTTTTCCTTTCTTTTTTCCTCCAAGTATGCATATAATTTATATTTAGTCCTAATTTGTAGTTTCCTCGATTTGAAGTTAATTACTTCAGTCTGTACATATGCCAGAAGTCCTATACAGAGCACTTTGAGAAAGCACCAGGTTTGAATACAGTACCTTCAGGATCTGTATTGAATGTGGTGGGTTTAGATGTTTTTCTCAAAAAAAAAAAAAAATCTGCTTGTATTACGATCTGAAGCAAACATCTAGAACGAATACATGCCATCTAGCCTGAAACACATATTTTCCATCTATATTAACTTTTGAAAGATAGGAAGATTTTGACATACTCACTAAATTATCTTTCTCTAAAGCCAAAACTGAGATGTATGCAGGTACAATGAATGGTGTGAAGAAAACAGAGTATGCCTTGCCATTGCACTTAGTTGCACTGCTGAGTTAAATGAGGTTTTTATTTCAAAAAGTTGTGCGCTAGTCAGATATCTGAGTTAATTTCAAAGAGAGCAAGCTTCAATAGTGACAGATGCAAATATGCATAAACAAAGCATATCTTTAAAAAAACAAACAAACACATACACAAGTTTTCCAGGCCTGGATCCACAGCTGAAGATTTTTTGGATTGGAAGAAGTCCAGAAAATATTGGGATGCTCCTTCAACAATGCAGAAAACTCAGGCTCTTCTCAGTGAGTCTGGCTTTGCTCTACCTATGAACCACTGTAAGAAGGTAGCAAGTCTGCTCCTGATAAGGGAATGGAGCTTGGCATCGGACACAGGTGAGCCACTTCCAGCTCCAGCAACTCAGCAGCTGGGGATGAAGCACAGCACTACAGCTGCTAGGAAAATACAAACAACAATTTGTAATTTGTAGCAAATGGATCTACCTGCTCTGCATTTCACAGGCCTCATTCCTCACAGCATTGTTAAAATTATCAGCAGGTATCTTACTGCACTAAGTGGAGGGTGGCATGCAGGGAAGAAGAAGGAGGTTCTGCTGAAGGCCCACTCTTTACTCATGCTCACTGCAGCACCCACACGGACCTCATCAAAGCCAGTGTAAGAAATCTGCAAGATGCATTTAATGACTAATTTACTAAGTGAAATTTTTGCTTATCAATACTTCTGTCGAGAATATCCATTCTGAATATTTGGTCTCCCCAAAACAGATGTTCCGCGAAGACATCAGTGGCTGCTGTAAGAGGAGCACACCAGGACAACCAGATATAGCAAGCCAGGACAGAACCTGAGTCATGTGATGCTTTTAGTGTAATCTGTGCTGACAATTAAAATGTGTTCTTTTTCATGGCTACATAAAGAAAAATGTGAGTGTTTTCTCTGGTATTGCAGTTAATGTATGGGGAGTGTTTTAGAGGAGCATGAATATTGCAGGGACTAGCAAATATTAGGTACCAGCTGACCAGTTTCCTGCATTAATGGATTGGCTGCTCTCCAAACTGAACCTCCTGTATGAAAATAGACACATTTGTAAAGAGGTTACTCAGCAAATTCTACATTTTCAACAATGAAATAAACTGTATGGGCAAGAAACACCTTCACAAATCTTTGCAGTGTTTGTGTTGCAATAGCAGACAAATATATGAGGGAAAATTGCATCTACAGACATTGCTAATTCCTAAACTGAGTTCTTGGAAAAATTCAAGGTTATTTCAGATGGCTTTATATTTTGCTTTTTGGATGCTCTAACTTTTGGCCTCAAATAAAGGGGAAAGCCTAAATTGCTTTGTTGTTCATGGAGCATGGATTTAACCTTATATCTCAAAGTGACAATCTGTGCAACTTGGGGGAAAGAACTGCATGGACGGAGGAGGAAAGAGAGAAAAGAACCGAGAGAGAAAAATATTCAGGGGCATGCACTGTTCAAAACCACATTCAAGGACATGGCCATTGCATATGACGAGATATTAACAGGCTGATGAATACATTCATTGCTCTGTAGTGCCTGTTCAGAAATCATATTTTGTTCCTGACAGAAGTTATTTACTTCCCCAAATATATTTTTCCTTGAAGTTTTTCCTCACTTCATAATTACTGAAATAAGGCAGGATGGGAAACAGAAGTAGGAACCTTGCCTGGTTGAGGTGGCTGGCAATATCTCTGAAACCACAGAAGTTAAATGCTCAGAAACCTTGGAGGAACAGAGGACTTGAACCCGTTTTTTTCACTTGGGAGTTCACTAATCAGGACACAAATCTAAACACTTCTCAAACTTTGCACACTTGAAATCTTTCTTTGAATGTCCATAACAAGTTTGGGGATTTTTTCAAATTAGATGTGCCAGACTATCATAGTGCTCAGCTGTGCTGTGTGTTAAACAAGATGGTAGAGGAATTAGCACAAGCAAATGCAACCACAACTGTTATAGGTTTCAAACCCTTATATTTGCTCAATAAGGTCACTGTGCCAGTGCTGAAGTTACCAACAGAAAATTTTATACTTGACAAGAATAGACATAACTAAATAGAAACAACTCCAACCAAACAAACTCTGCATTAAACAACATTTCGATGAGCTCAAGTTGGCATAAGAAGAAATTTTTTGGCTGTTTCCTACATTAGCTGAGGAAAATGAAAAACTCTGTGCTAAATGAAAAAATCTTTGCCTACAGGCAGAGATGCTCTTGGCTCTTCTTTACCCTGGAGGGAGCACAAGCTGCCCTCCCCTTGGCCCTCCATTGACAGGGAAGAAGGAATAACTTCATGATGAGCTAAAACTTGTTGCATCATGGAGCAGAGGGCGTCATTGTGCAGCTGGGGCAGAGGTGATCAGGGACAGTAGAGCTCACAGCAAGAAGCAGATCCTCCTGCCTGGGCTGTAGAAGGTCTTCAGTCCTGTAAATTATGTCAGCCTGGTCCTCTGGCCCACTGGGGAAAACCTCATCTTGTATCGGCCAATCTGAAGCTGAGGAGATTTATAGACCTGACATGTAGACATATGGCATGTGTATTGTATGGCATGTGATGTGAGAGATAGGTATGGTTAGATTTCCAGCTGTAGATGGGAGCATTTTCAAGCTTAAAGATGAGTAAACAAACAGGAAAAACAAACAAACAAATAAACACACCAAAAACCACACCAAAGGTCAAGCAAATCAGCTACACAATAAATTCAAATAGGGCCTTTTACAGGAGCACAAGAATGGGAGCTCACCTGGGCAGGGGAATGAAGGAAAAGAGGCTCTAACACCTGCAGGACAATCTGGCTGCCTTCAGGAGCCAGAGCACTTCTGCTCCATCTTGTGCTACAGATGCAATCACATCTCCCCTTACATGCAAGTGCTTGTTTCATGTCAATTAACACATACCTCACTACTTAAACTGTGCCTGGCTGATATGTATACAGTCAGACACTGCAGAATGAGTGTGGGGCCGTTGTGCCTCAATCTCTCTTCTGCTTCTTGTGATTTCCTTTTGGCCCTGTATCCTTCCTGCAGTATCTGCAGCTGGAAGGCTCCTCTGCTTGGAGCAGCATTTCCCCAGCACTAGAGAAGGAAAAGGAAACCAAGATCAGGATTCAGCTTTTTTTTTTCTCTCTCTTGCTTGTTGTGTCCCCGCGACTATCTCAAGTGACCTCAAACTTTGAGGTTGCAATTTCTTATCCTTTATCCAGAACACCTCATTTGGCAGTAACAGAGAGGATGTTTCCAGACTGGCATGCAGAGCTAAGCCAGCTCACTGATGGGTCATAGAAACCCCATCACTGCCTGTAAAGAGCTGCACACAGGCAGAAATATCTCATAGAAACAGCTCTCCTTTGCACATTACAGCTTCTTTGCAGCCCCAAGAAGTTAGCAGGTCTTTGTTCTGCTCTCTCTGAATGGCTTCTTCCATTTTGGCTCACTGCTGCATGGGAGCACTCTGCCAGTCACCCAAAATTCCTGCCATAACCAGCCCTCTTTGAGATTACCATTATTTTACAAATTATGGTTTCTATGTCAATATCTTATCACCAGAACCCTGTCCAGTACCTACAGAAAATGGTGACATGATAAGACTTCAGTAGAACTGAGAAAACCTTACCTCATTACTTCCATACAAATCCACCATATTCAGGACTCGTGTAAGTCCATCATATCTAAACACCTTGCCTAGGTGAGGTACATGCAGAAGACTTCAATAAATAAATAAATAAGACACCAGCCATTCAAAAATATTTTATTCCTTGAAAATATGAATGCAGCACTGAGAGCACACTGCAAATGAATACTCTTAGTAATGTATATAGCGAGGGTGGGACTATACATATTCACAATGACTATTTCAAAAGAGCTTTAGTATGTTAAGGACATCTGTGGCTGAACACAAGAAAAATGTCAGGAAAGTCTTGACACTAACACTTCTGCCAGGATGAATGAGGGAAGAAGTGAGGCAGTGTAATGGAAGGAGTTAATTTCTTTCCAGGTTCACAGAACTTGACCTTTTTATGTGTAGTTGGCTGTTGGCACACAATATAAAGTTGGCATATGAAGAGAACCCTAGGATCCAATCTGAAATTTGATGTTACCTCAACTTAACCTTATTAAAGCAGCTAAATTCACCTAAAGCATATCAGATTTTACCTATAAAGCCAAAACTGCCGTATTTCCTGTGCTCTTCTTTAATACCTTTGACGCTGATTAAATTCTGCCTGGTAGACAAGCAGACCCAGCTGACGGAAGAGCTATCACACTCCCTATGAAACCACGAGAATTTTTCTGGCTGGCCAGCCCAGCTAACAAAACATCTGGCACCAGAACAGATCCAACATCTCAGCAAAGACCAGGCGTGTCGCTGCTCGGAGGCAGATGGGATCCATCCCCCTACAGACTGTGAAAGCCCTTTTTCAACAACAGTTGGTGGAGATGAGCTCACTTAGCTGACAGAGCACTGGTCCAGACGAACAAGGACCCAACAGCTGGCTTCCACACCATCCCTGATGCCAGCTCAGCAGGTGCAAAAGTGGCAGGACCACTCTATGGAGGTGAGGGCCACATCTGGAGCACATGGGTCCAGATGCAAAGCTGTGGAGGAGCTTGTTGGCAGGCTGCAGAGCTGCTTGCTGCCTGGAAGCAGGGATGCTGTTGGATCAGGGATCCACAGGCAGCTCTGGACAGCTGAGCTGGGGTTTGTAGTCTAAATCTTGCTGCATTTGTTTTGCCCATACAATGTGAGGCTGCAGTACGTACCATCTGTAAAAATGGTGAGGCTTTACTACACCCTATTTCTGGATCCTGCCTAACGAGAGGGGGGGCACAGAGACCAAACCCCCACCAGTGTGCACTGAGGCTTCCCCATGGTGGGAAGAGTCAGCTGGTAACACCACTGCTAACACAGGATGCCAAGCTCGTCAAGGACCAAGCAAAAGCCCAACATTCAGCTAATTCACAATTCTTTAAAGAACATTCCATTGCGGTTTTGTCAATGAAGGGAATGAGTTGAGTTTTGAGGAAAGATACTTTAAAAGGAGCCTATTAAGATATTCCTATTGGATGGGTTTCTATGACAGTTCCCTGAAAAAAAAATATTAAATATGGATACATGTTTAAATATAATTTTACATACAGATTATTCAAAGAATGAGTGGCCTATGATCAATAAGGGTTATCAGTTAATGTTAAACAAAGGATAATTCATGTAATTGCTCTTATGATGTGTGTGAGACTTCAGACAACTGACTAGGAGTCATGATACAGCTGTCTTTTAAATCCATGCTCTAGATAGGAGACGGACACAGGGGATTTGTGATTTGGTCATGCTGTAGAACAGTCAGCTTTTGGCAATTGGATGATATGTTGTTGATTATGTGCATGATTTGTCAAATGTTTGAGGCATCCAGGGAGGGGAGAGCTTCCAAGTCATTCAGAATATATATATTGGGTTGACAATAGAGAAAAAGTCAGAGGAGAAGCAAAACCAGCACAAACAAGAAGACAGTCTACTGAGGAATATGTTTTTTCTGAACATATTGAAAAACAAGGTGAATGTGTCCTATTGAAAGGGAGTCTACAGAGAGTAATTTCAAAAGATGTGGGAGAAGTTCATTTCAGTGGAGCCACCTCTAGCAAGCAGAAGGCCTACAAGCACGTTCAGGATGTAACCATGCATAAACTCAATCAGACAGAGTACCCCATCACATAAACTTGGCTGTGCAGCACTGTGGTAACCTTACTCTGGCACACAGAGATGAACGTTAAAGATTTAGCTGATTTTTGGGGCTACTATAAGCTACAGTTGCTGCCAGAGGCACCCATGGAGTTGGGATCTCTCCAAGGCACGTAGTCTGGGTTGATTAGTGCAAGGAGTGAGGACGTTGCACATCTTCCTTTTGCATTTGGTTTTGATTGCAATGGTTGATAATAAGCAATAAAAAATAACAGCGATAATAAGCAATTAAAACAATCAGTAAGCTTACAGGTGAGGTGAATACAGGTGTGTTTTGAAGCGTATCTTATCACACAGTGCAATTTTATAAGAGAGCCAGAGGAATTTTTGTTTCCAATAACTTCATTTAAGAAGGATTTGCATACAGACTCTTTACAAGGAATATTTCTGAATGGGAGAAAAGTAGTGCTGTATGGAATATCTTTGCATATCATCAAGACTGTAACACAAGGCTAGGACCATATAATGGACAAAACCAATGGATTTCATACAGAAAAAAAAAAAAAAAAAAAAGATCTGTCAAATTTGTTTTGTCCTTTGAAATACCATGTGGAAACTCTCATAACTGTGGAAGAACAGAGTTTGACATGGCATCTGTGATAGACTTGCTGCTTAAAAAGAATTATGCTCCTTTCTTGCCACATATGTAATACTGACAAAACATTTTTTTCTTTAAACTGACACTGGCTTCCCATTCTGATTTTCCTTCTTTCCACATTCAAGCGGAATTTCCTTGCCAATAGGAAATCAGTACAAAATCTCTCAGCAGCTGGAAAAAGTAATTAGAGAACAGAATTAGGCAATTTTAATGTATGGAAGAACAAACTCTCCTGGAATCTGCCTGCTAAAATCTTAGCTTGCAACTGCTTTCATGTACTGTTCTTCCAGTGTAAGTAGGACACGGAAAATACGACAGTCATATGAAGAACGGAAATTCTAGCTAGAAAAGTTTTTCACATTTTGAAGTTTAACTTCATCTTAAGCTGGATAAAAGCCCAAAAATTCAGGTTTCTTCCTAGTGAAATGCCAAAGCATTTTCCAAGCTACTAGGTTTCAATATATTATACTTTTTAAAAAGCTGTTCCAAAAAGACAATGAAAACAACTACGTTTTTTCCATTTTTAAACAATTCCAGTGTACTTTGTTTCCTTTATAAAGGACTTTGTTGCAATTGCACATTTCAGAGCAACCCTATTCCACAAAGTCCCTCCAGTGAGCTCTAAGCAGATCTTTTATGTCTCATTGCTCCGGATTTCCCCAAACTGTTGCTCACTACAACTGGGGCAGGGGGGAGGGGAAAAAAAAAAAAAAAAAAAAAGAAAAGAAAAGAAAAAAGTGGATCCTTACAGTGATTTTAGCATGTGCTTAAGAAGGGTCTTTACTTAGTGAATACCAGCGTGGTATTTTGAACATTCTGGTTGGCTGAAATATAAATACTCACATAATTCATGTTCCTGCCATACGAAGAAGCTGCTGCCTTGGCAGCCCCGGAGGCAGGAAAAAGAGAGACGGTGCCATTGAATGCTCTCAGCTGGGCTGCAGCCAGTCTGGTCCTCAGCCAGGCACAAAGGAACAACTCCCACCACGGCTGTGAGAGCCCTGCACGGAGCAGAGACCCTGTCCACATTGCAGCCTGCAGCAGCACCATAGATACTGAGGTGTGGTGTTGAGCAATGTGCAGCTGGTAGGCATTATTTATGGACGATTTAGCAAATTAGGCTAACGATGCACATGAATGTTGGTGCAGCAGGAGGGCTTTCCCATCAGAGCTGTAGCCAGTGGCACAGATAGATAGAGATTTGCAGGGGCCTCCACTGACCTCAGAGAGCTCACAGGGGCAAACAGGGATACCTGAGCACCTGGTTTGGCAGCACTAACTTCCATGAGTACAACACTCTTTGCTAATAAAACGTTGACAGCAACTATTTCTCTGTTTGCTTTCCATCTGCCACTGGCATTTGATTAGTGGGTATTTGGTCATATGCATCTTTGAGATTTGCCTTGTGTTGATGGAAGAATAGGAAACAGGTCAATCTTTTAAAATACTTCAATATAATAAAACATACATCCATAAAACTGAAACAGCAATATCCCGTTGCCATCAGATGGGGGACACTCTAAACGCCTCAGGCAGGCACAGTCTGACAGCACCAGCAGGAGCAGGGCTGCCCAGGGTGAGAACAGCCAACCTTCTGTTCCTAGATGCAAACCTTTTGCTCCCAACACATTCCCCCATGTTGAAATGGTAAGTGTGTAATCTTCTTAGTGACTGCGGTGATCTCACACAGGATTTTAAATGGACTGGGCTGCAGGAAGACTATGACCCAACAGAGTGTTTACTTTATCCTGTCTGATGGATTGCATGTCCCTATGAAGTAATCCAGTTTGAGTGAAATCCAGCTGGCTCAGATCTCTTCTCGATTAATGAGTTCAGTTAATATGTCAAATGAGTAAGGTGATATGGAGTTATGCTAGAAAACAAAAGAAAGAGAGGTTTGACACCAGTGGTAACAGAATTAGCTAAATAGCATTGGCCCAGTAAACAGGTTTTGTGATGTTTGTAAAAGTCGTTGAAGGAAGCATTTGCTTTCATCACATGCATTTACAAAACAGTCTAAGTAGTTAACAAATATTTTTCCTGAGGACTTGGGCTTTGGCAGAAGAGGACACCGTCTTGTCACTGGTCACAGACTCCTTCCCGCAGCATGGGAAATGAATTAGAATCAGGCAGTTTGCAGACAGGCAGCAGTGGGATTGGTCTGGGCTGGCAGCACTGGCATGGCACAGGAGGTGCCCATCCATGTTTGCTTTGCATGCTTGCTTTTGCCCACCTGTCCTGGTGGACGCGCAGCATCCCATACCATTGTGCTGCTAGTTGACCCCAAATAACTTCCTATTCCCTGCATTAGTCTCCAAATAAAACATAAGAATCTTTTCATATCATTTCACTGCCTCAGACAAACAATCCCAAAATACTACATGCTGATCTGGGAGATGCCTAAAATTAATGCATTAAAATTGCTGAGGATAAGAATAGACCTAAGCTTCCAGCACTCCTCCAGATTTTAGACATTTGCTCCAGAAATAATTTCTAATGCTGCTGTATCTAAAGAAACCCGATCTCTAATGATGTAGAGAATATAAAGCAGAACTAATATTTCAAGTGGGAAGATTTTTTTTCCCAAGAAGTGTACAGGCTGAGAAACAATCCTTGTCTAGGAAAGTTTGGACTTCCAAAAAAGAACACAGTTAGAGATTAAACAAAGTGTGTCAGTATTCTTATTCTTGAGTTTATTGAAGATTTTATTCTTTGAAATAAAGTAACTTGCAAAGAGTAGATTAAATGTTTGCCAGTATGTATACACATTACACTGAATGCGAAATAAAGACTACACTGTCATCTGTTACATATAGGTGACAACTGCTGCTTATCTACTCCCAGTTTGCCCCAGTTCAGTCAGTTCTCCTACTGGCTATCCCAAGATATCCAGCTGGACCTGCTGATGGTTCATGCACCCACCAGCAGGAGACATGGCTAAATCAGGCTGGTCAGAAGCCAAGGCAGATATCAGCCTGGGACAGGCACATCCTTACACACAGCTTTTGGGATCCACAGAAAAGTTGAGGTTTCCGGGAAAGATGAGTTTTATCATCAAGTAGAAGTTACAGTATTTGTCCAATGTGTAAGAAAGAGTATCTTCTACTACTAATTGCTTTTAGAGAAGTGTACTTTCAAGATTTCATTCTTAATTATGCCAGTTAGTTGCAGGATATAGGATATATATATATATATATTTACATATATATATATATATATATATACTATTTTGGCCAGCAGGAATGCTGGAAACATTTAAGACTAGTCTGACTGCCAAAATAAAATGTCTGTTTGTGTTATGAATCACAAAAAGATGCTACACAATCAATGAAGTATGATAGGTTAGCACAAGATTTGATTAGAATGAATCTTACATACGATCTCCCAGTAATAATTATTCGGATTGCATTTGCTAAAGGTAAGATGATCTGAGCTCACATTTTCTTACTTACAGGCCCCACATTTTTTGTCATTTCCACAAAAATCCTCCCCCCCCCCCCCAAAACAAAACAAAACAAAACAAAACTTACTCTATTTCAGAAAACTATTTTACTTGTATTAAGGTCAGCTTGGACTCAAGTTGTGCTTTGTAAAGCAGCTATTGAAGCCCAACAATTCCCCAAAATTGTCAGATTTAGGAAAGAACATTCAACAGAACATAAGTTTTATCAGAGAACTTTTTTTTTTTTTTTAATGCTTACATAATCTAATTACTTTAATTAAGGAGGACTCTCGCACAAATTCCTCATTATTAACCTGTGTGGAAAAAAAAAAAAAAAAAAAAAAGAAAAAAAAAGAAAAGTTTTACTCTTTAATCCCTTTGAAAGTTACTAGAAATCTTCTGTTCTGCTTTAAATGGCAAAAAGCACCTTTCAACACCAAGACAGTAAATAAGTCAAGCTCTCACCCTAAATCAATAAATTGCTCTTTATGGATGTGCAGGACAAACCATACAGCTGCAACAATATCATCAGCTCAACACCCCAGCCACCCCAGCCTTAGGCTGTTGAATCCAGCCAGTGGTGGAGGGAAAATAAAAACGATTAAAGTCAAGTCATCACTCTCTTCATCCTCCCTCACTTTCCTACTTCAGTTGCTTCTGCATTAAAGTCGACAAAACATTGAATCATTAGACAGCTGGCATGCAGAGGCCTGTCAGTTTATTACTCGATGTTATATATGTCTACAAGACAAATATGAGGATAAAGCCATATCATCTGCTAAAATTGTCTTCATCTAGCTCCTGTGAAGTCACAGTGACCCATGTTTTAGCTCTTAATAACTGTAGAGGCCAAAGGGTTATTTTATTTTCATTGCCAGTACATGTTGAACTGTGTCACCACCTCTCCACTGCCATGGTTACCCACAAAAATGGGCTCAAACTTGCCCATACATTAAATATATATACATTATACATTGTCCATGTATTGCCTACTATCCCTTGTACCTATTCCATTTGTTGGAGCTGTTCACTTAGTGTCATTTGAGAGGAGGAAAGACCTCTGACCCTTTGTTACAGGCTTGCTCAGTGCCATGTATGATGCTGGAGCATGTCAGTGCTGCTGCAGTATGAGCAAAGGGGGATTAATTAAGAACCTTAGAACATGACCATGAACAAAACAGCAGCATGGGTTTGGAAACACTCTCAATAGGAAAAACAGAAACTACTAAACAAGACCTTTTCCTGCTGTGAAGCATCTATTGTGTTTCATTTACATCTCTCAAATACTCCAGGGTCTTGGATTTGCCATATAGGATATTTACGCTTGCCAACTGAGCTGAGAAGACTGAGTTTTCAATTTAATGATCATGGGAGAGGGGTAGTAGAAGGTTTCAGTTCTCCACTCACTCTCATTTAGTGTTTGTGTTTTAAGAAGAGACAGGTTGTGATCAAAATACAACTCAGGGGATCATGCTGATCTCTACTTGTCTACAGAGAACCAAGGTAACGAAGTCTGTAGCAGCAAAGACACCACACTTGCTGTGTAAGTTCATATATCACCACATTTTTTCTGCTTTCTAAATTCCCATATTGTAATATAAGTTTCGCACTAAGAATTTTAGCAAGGGCATATCAGATGCCCTAATGGCAGAAAATAAATCTGTACACTCTATGTGAATATAACTCAAACTCTGGATCATATTTTTAATGTAGTACAGATAAAACAGGTTTGAAGCTCAAATTTTACAGCCCTCGAGCCTAGTTGTTTTTGTAGTAGGAATACAGAATTAGATACCTCTAAATACACTGATCTGGAAACAGTCCTCATAACAATTCCTTTTACTAGGATATAGGGTTGCTACTAACAGTATGGAATTCCTAAAAAGAACAGTGAGCAGAGACCCAAGAAGCCTGAACTAAATAAATCACTCCTACATAGGAACTAAATCCATGAGGTGTCTTTGCCAAGACATAGTCTAATGTAAAATTTTACTGCTTTGTCCTGTAATAAATTTTAAATGCCTTAACCGTGAGAATAGTGCTACTTACTCACAAGGTTATTTTTTTAAACAGCATAATAATTTTCAGTGTTATGGAAGATGTGCATCTGGTAAGACTTTCGTTTATTGAAATAGTTGCTAAAACTTCTCAAGACAAAACATAACTCAGTCACTTCAGCATGCTCATGAGAAAAAGATCTTTATGGAGCTTCACAGATTTGAAAGACTTCAGAAGAAAATTTGGAGTTTAAAAAAGTTAACGATGAGAAAAAAAATAAAGTGAGATCTATCATTAAATATAAGAATTCATTCATATTATAACAGAATGTTACAGAAAGATTAAAAGACTAATTTGAAATGAGATAAAACTGGTATTGAAGTCATATTGCTAAAATCGCTGGCATCCTAAGTAGATTCACATTCAGCCTGGTAATACCAGCACATTAGATCACTTCTGTTTAGTCATAGCTTCACTGTTATCTTCACCAGTTAATTACACAGAGTAATACTCAGCTTCACTTCATTCAAAAGAAACCCCTCCCATCTTCTGTAATGTTTGTGTGGAAGAAGCCAAGTCTTTCAGGATAGGCATTTCGTTTGTGAAAACATTGTTTATTTTCTGCCCTAGTTCTGGGTAGGTTTTGACTTACCACATTAAGAATACGATCATTGCTGTTACAGAAAGAAGTATTAATTCCTTCTTTATCTCCCCAAATGTACTTATTAGCCTTTCATGAATAATAGACTGTTTAGTAAAGAAAAAATATGCTCATGTGTGTGACTAACTTGGCTGAAAGCACACACTTAGTACTCTTTCTAAAAATACTAAAGTGTTTAGCTAATTGAAGAGTTGGCTTGAAATCTAGAACTCGAAAATTAGTTGTAGATCTATGAAAATACTCCACTGCCCTTGGGGAAAATGCAGAAAAAGCACATGACTGTCATTAAAAATTTTTCTATCCCTGCCCTTTTCCTACAAATGACCACATTGTTTTAATATCAGAACTAGTCTTCCTAATTCCTACACCTTACTTTTTTTTTTTTTTTTTTTGTGAATATCATTCATTATTTTCCCTGTGACTGTCTCTCTGTGTCTGTCAGCTCCTGTTTTTTTTTTGTCCATTACTCCTGGGCACATCATATCCACAGCAGTTCTTTGCTTTACGACCTTCCATGATGACCTTGCAGGCAGCCTGTAAGCTTGTAGTCAGCTTCGGTCCCTAGGCTATTAACTTTTTAAAATGAATGCTCACATGTTAAATCTTTCAAAAGTTTCTAGCTGGAGGAAATTCAAGGAAGAGTAACAGCAGTACATCTTGTTGCTGCTTCCAGCTTTTGTGAAAAAGCTGCCCCTTACAAAGGTTGCCCCTTTCACTTGCGAGCACAACTTTTTGCTGCAGACACCAGTCAGAGCACAAGCTTGGGAAAGGAAGCCCTGCAGGGCTGGTTGCAACACACAACATATCAGAGGAGAGGTGGCTTCTCTTCATCCCTCCTTAAAGGATCCTGTATTCTCCTGTGAAGAAAGGCTGAGAGAGCTAGGGCTGTTCAGCCTAAAGAAGAGTATGCTCTGGGGTGACATTATTGCTTTTCAGCATTTAAAGGGAGCTTATAAAATAGATGGAGAGCAACTTTTTTGTTCTGTCAGATAATGACAGGACAAGGAGGGATGGTTTTAAACTGAAGGAGGTGAGATTTAGATTAGATGTTACGAGGAAATTCTTCACTCAGAAGGTGGTGAGGTTGTTGAGAGGCTGTGGATGCCCCATCCCTGGAGGTGTTCAAGACCAGGTTGGATGAGGCCCTGGGCAGCCTGATCTAGTGGGTGGCATCCCTGCCTCTAGCAGGGGGGATTGGAACTAGATGATCTTTAAGGTCCCTTCCAACCCAAGCCATTTTGTAATTCTATGAAAATTACTTCCTCAACCCAGTGTGGTTGAAAATGCTGTCTGTGGAGAGCAACTCTATCAAAAGAAGAGGGAGGAAGAAAAAAAATCTGCAAAATATATACCTAACACCTATTTACAAAACTAAAATACTGAAGTATTATATCCAGAGCATGTGTATGTAAATAATCTGGATGAGATCAGCAATACTGGATGTTTCTCCACTTAAGTATCTAACAGGCTTGTGAATGCACTTCCACGTGTGACAAACAAGTTAACAAAACTGTGGACTTGTCAGCTCTGTCATCCTCTCCTTGTACATCAGATGCTCTGATTCATTCATCATCTTCATTGCCCCTTGCTGGCCTCACACTGGTAGAGGTCTGCCTTTCTTGTGCTTAGGAGCCCTGAGCTGGACACAGCAGTCCAGGTGTGGCCTCTTGCAATACTCTGGCCTATAGCCACTATTCATTTACAATTCAAGGACTTGTGAAGAGTTCAGTCTGAATGAAGTACACAGACTTAATCTTATTAACCTAGTTTTAAGTGTTGGAGCTGCAGAAACAATAAATATAAGCCCTAGGGCATCATTAGAAGATGAGTCAAAGGCTATGCCTATCTGCCAAATAAAAGAGGGCCAGGAGTGAGTCTGAATGCTGGCAGCCTAATTGTCTACACTGATTAACATCTGGCTCAGCTCAGGGTTCCTCCAGCCAAGTGCCTCCAAAGCAAGATTTGGTCACAGGCAGGGAGATGACTGACTCCAAGGACCACTCCCAAAAGACAAGTCAAATGAAGAGGTACCTCAGAGGCACCAAACAACTGTGTTTGCTCTTCAGTAGGAGACTCTCAAGTACAAGCACCATTGGTGTCACAACTCACAGTGCGGTTGGGATATTTGTTGGCATCAAATCTGCTACAGGCTGTCAAGAACACCTGACAGGAAAGGAGTGAAGAAGCTCATACTTCTGAGTCTATCCTAGACATGACTAGCGTGACTCATTCCTTGTTTCTTACCACCTGTTCAATCAGATTACATTTTAAATAATTACCAATTACTAATTACTCTTTTGTAACCAATCATGTTTGTTCTTAGCAGAAATTGGAAATGACCAGACTCATATTTAATCATTTTTATAGGCCTGTACCCAGATGTTAAGAGTAAAATGATCTAGACACAAATCCCCAGGTATTTGTAGAATGTCTTAAGAAGGTATGACAGGCACAGCAACTAGTTCCTAAAATATCCTTCAGCCAGTTCTTCGTTTTCAAGCTATAGTGTAATACTGAAGTGAGAAGTTGGAATCAAAATAATGCAGCTGTAACTCCAGCCACAACATCTACAACTTCTATTTTCTAAGTATGTTTTCAGATTGCAGTGCAGTTCTGGTTATCACATGCCACACCCCAAAGGCAATCACTGTTTTCTAGTACTTGCAAAGTGTGGTAGAAATGCTAACAAGCTTTGAACTCTGAAAAAGCCGCAAGCATAAACTAAATTAAACAGGAAATTTCCCCCAAACATGAATATTGGTGGGAAAGGGTTGAGAAAGGGAGAGTAAACTCTTTCATTCTGATCCCTGCAGGGAAGGAGGTGATATTTTCCTAACCAGAAAGCGCACATTCACAGAACTGCCATTTCTTTTAAGCCAACTGCTGTTTGAGTCGAGAATTGAAAACTGAAGTTTCAAAGAGCACCAGTGTCTACAAGCTCCTTATCCAAACGAGCAGTGATTTTGAATTCTCCAGGAGTCAGAATATGGATAGGACAGAGAGATGCTTTTTTGGAGGCATTTCAAAGAAAGTTCTGGGTCTTGCTGTGGTGTGAAGGTTTCTCCCAAGGGAAAATTCCAAGTCTGTAGGGTAAACAGGAGCAGTGCTGCAAGCTCACAGCATGATGGTTTTAAAGATAACAAGTGTTTCTAGAGATCTTCATTGATAAACATCCTTTCTGCATCTATAGAAGCAACTATTTACCCACTAGCCAGCTGATTGATTGAATCAATCTTTTCCAAACATCTTCCCTTTCACATAAGAATACAGCAGGTCACCATTCAGGCCTGCAGTATTTCTCTTTGCTTTCTCCTTTCTTGCTTTTAGACATAACTGTAAGATCCTGCTTGAAAGACCTTCAATCTAATTTGCTTTATCCATGGAGTAATCACTAAGGACACACGGTTATCATGCTGTGGACTGGCAGTCAAAACAATTCAAGAAATAACACCCTCAAAACCATGGCACTTTAACCACCTCGAAACAGAGAACCATGAAGAGGAGGAGGTTTGGGCATCCTTCCAGCAAAGCAAAAGGTCATTCTTTGAGACTGCGCCTATTGCATCATTTGGGCATCATAAACTAAAAATGTGCGTGGGTCTGAATATCAGAAGTTTAGTCTGCATTCAGGAAAGAAAATGACAAGAATTGTTTGCATTTGTAAGCAACAGTATTTTAGAAATGGCCTAAAACCCAATAAAATAGGCAATTATGTGAAAAAGGGAGCTGTATGGTGCTATAAACGAACAGGCAGCTAGTCCTAAAAGGTGAGTAAACATTCACTTTTGCAATGAGACTTGGCACTGCATGTACCCAGCCAATAAAAGGGCTCTGGTGATATTGTTTAAAATATGACATGGACAACATTTTGTTTTGTTTTGTTTTTCAAAACTTAAAAGAAGTGAAGCCTCTGAAGAACAAAGAAAACAAAGGAAATGGAGAATTTGAGGCAAATGTCTGTGAACCAGCAATGAAGAATGAGGCTTAGGAAATTTCAAGAGGAAATGAAAAATAAGAATGAAGAGGTAGAGTAAAAAAAATTTGCAAAAATGAGAGAGGAAAACCTGACTTTCCTGCAGGCCAGAGAGCTTACATCATTGGTTTTAGCTGAGCCAGGAGTTCACTGAAGGAGCGCTGGAGCTGTTAGGAGCCCAGGCAAGATCACCTGTTGGAGGAAAAGATCTGAATCTAACCAGAAAGACTTAATGTGCTAAAAGCCCTGAGGAGAGGAAAAGCATTTTGAGAGAGAATGAAGTTCTGCTGTACAGAGATTTTTAGGACTAAGAATAAGAAAATAACTATTACTGGCTTCATCTCTATAATCTGCTGTCCTGCTGATGCACTATAGTGATTTGAGGAAGAAGATACCTGGAATTTTTTTTTCATCCTGGATGCTACACACAGACAGTAACAAAATTTCAACCTATGCTTGGGACAGGCTATGATTTTAGAATGTCTCTGAGTAGCAGGTTATTAGTTGTATCAGTTAGAAACAGCTTGGAAGAAATGCAAAAGGAAAGAGAGCAGGTAGGCCTGAGGTGGTGTCTGGCTGCACACCGTTCTGGCACTTTGGGACAGGCAGAGACATCATTAGTTGCAAGGATACCTGCAGAGATATCATTACTTACACAGCTGAAGGACTTAGGCTTTGCAAATGCAGGTGGCAAATGCACACGTTTCTGGATGTTGAAAAGCACAAGCATATTTGCAGATGGTCACCAATCTGCAAAGGAAGGAAATTTGCAGAAGAATTTATATGATGTTACAAATGTACTTCATATATTCATGAAAACAAACAAACAAACAAAAACAATAAAATAAAAAGAAACAAAATCACTGCAAATACTGGGTAACATGGTAGCCTTTAAAAGTTTGTAATTCGAGCATTTTAGAACTTTTATTTATTTAATTAATTATTTTCCAGCCTGAAGCATTTTTTCTGCTGATTTTTTGTCCACTTCTTTGCTCAGCTAATATTTCCAGAAAACAGTAGGGAATTTAGTTTTATTCTGCAAATCAGTCGGCATGCAATTTGAAAATATTTTGAAAATATTTTGTCCTTTTATTTCTACTCCTTATTAGGAACAAATATAATAACCTGCTTGGATCTTTGTAGAGTTAAGAGGGTAACATCAGCAGAAAGAACTTGAGCATTTTTTTTATATATTTTTGCTCTTAAAAAAAATCAATACAAGCCATTAACAGGTCATTAACATTAAGGTCGTTAACATTAAGGTCATTAACATATAACGAGATGACAGTGATGATATAAGCTTGATTTGAGTAACAAGATGATCTGACCAGATAAAAATGAATTTCAAAAACATTATAACAATAAAAGAAACAGTCATCACAACAATAATAATAACAACAACCAAAACACCCTCTCTGTGTTAAAATAACTGAATTATCAGATATACCTTATACTTTCATTAGGTTCACACTCTGATTCAAATGATCTGAGTTTCAGATTCAGAGATTTTGTGATGTAGTGTAAGTGTGGACTGTCCAGTGTTAATTATCAGATATAGATTATATTTCTTCTTGCTATTCTTTAATTCTCTTGTCAAAAAAATGTTAACAGATTATTTTCCACTCAATTTTATTGATCACAGTCTCTCTGATGCATTATGGAAAATTAATTCATTTTAAAAAGTTACTGTGGTTTGGCTAAGAGAGAGAAAGTGTTTTTCATGGCATCTATCAAACATTTTCCTCTCTGTTTAACAAAAACATTTACTGGAATTTGCACAGAAGGAAAAATGTGCCAAGCTAGAAGATAGATGGTTGGCAGAGTACTCAGTACATGCATTGATTCAGGAAAGATTGTTCCTTTTGTGAAGTGGTCTAGCTCAGACAGGAAAAAAGAAGAAAGGATGAAAATATCCTAAGGACTTCTCAGAGTTTTAATTTAAAAGGGAGTCTGCTTTAAACCTTTCAGTATTTCACATGAGTAAAATTAGCTCATTGCTTTCTATCTGCCTGTACCCTACCTTTAGTTTCCAGAGTCTCTTCTGGGCACAGGCTGTCAGAGCAGCTCAGCTTTGAGCTGGTAGAGGCTTGGGTCTCTGAAGAACCTGGCAATGGTGGACGTTAGCAGAGGACAGAAGGTATCTTGGTGGGCAGCAGTGGTGGAACACGAGAGCTGCAGCCAGACTAGAAGCCAGTACAGACTTAAACTGGAACAGGGTTTGCAAGAAGGTTTGGAGGGCAACTGATTCAAGTGGTACAGCTTCTGGATTGGGAGAGTTTGCAGAATGGAAACCTGGAGGATCTGAGGAGTAAGGGCCTGGGTCAAGCAAGAGAGAGAATCAAATGACCTGGACAGCACAGGTGGGACCTGGTTTTGGGGTAGGGATAGACACATTAGAGCTTAGCTTTTCTGATTCTCTTTACCATCTTCTTTCTAGCTTTTTGAAGCACATCAGCCTCCAAAAGAGTGTCTTGTTGCTCTCTGACTTGCAAGTTTTACTAGTTAAAATAAAGCCCATCAAAGAGCCAAAGAGTGTTATAAGAAGTTATTGCAAATTCAATGCTTAAATTTAATTACACAAATATGGACTCAGCATGTTTCCAGAAGCACTAAAAATTGCCTATTAAAATATTATTTTAAACTATTGAAAGTTTTAAAAACTATGTAAGGACAAACTTTAAAAGCATGATGAGTAGCCAAAACCAAGCATCCCAAACACCATCTTTCTTTCCACCCATAGTAACCCTGCGGTGTCCATACGTTTTTGTTTCTGCTCTCAGTCTAACAGCTTCCAGCAGCCTGATGGCTTTGTAATAAAGTGTACAGAGTCTTTGCTAGCTCTTGAGGACATCTGTTTGTTCTTTCAGCACCTCTGAGGCTTGGCTGCGGCTTGCTCTTTGCCACGGACAGGGCTCTGTAACTGCTGTAATGTGTTGTGGCCTCCCCAAGCTCTCCATTCCCCCGCTGAACCCTCAGGTCTCAGAGCAGTCACAGTTTCCTCCCCATGGGTTTATCTGACTTCACAAAGAGAAGCCAAAAAGGGCAAGTGCAGCCCTGTTGCTCTGCTGCTCAGATGCACTCTTTTAATGAAAGCCGCCACACATCACACACAGAGTAAGCTGTGAACACACAAAAAGAGTGACAATATATAATTTATCACGTTTACCCTGAGGTGTGGTATATTTCCAGTATACTAAAGACCCAAGGAAATGATGCGGCTGAAACTCATCAACCACTACAGCAAACTCATACTAAACCAAAAAAACAGACACACACTTACCACTCACAGCATTTCTCTTTGAAAAACAGCCATGCCATATCTGATTTCTTGGTCATAATCTTCAAAGGAGGAAGTTGAAATAAGCATCTCAGGTACTAAAATCCTGGATTGTACTGAAAATTATGGACTCAAGAGAGATACTAGTATAAGTATTTGTTATGACCTTCCTGATTTCCCCCCTGTATCACTCAGGATGCAACTGCACATTTTTTCTACTCAGTTGATGTAATTAAATATAACTAACAGCAGTCTTGTAGAGCCTGAATTTAGCTTAGATTTAACTGTTTTCTGCATGTGTCTTAAGGAACCTTGAGCTCAAAAGCCTTTCCCCTTCACTCTGGCAATTTGAGGCTACAGCAGAGCCAATCCAGAGGTGTAAGGGAAGGGCTTGCTTTGCTATCACTGCTCCTAGACTGAGGCTCTGGTGTTTATCTGACCCTTCCATAACCGGACTAAACCAATCTGAGGTGTTTTTTTTTTTTTTTTTTTTTTAGTTAGTTTGTTAGTTTGTTATTCAGTTGTTGAATTTAATTGCTTGGGAAGAATTAGGCACAAGGTGATAGGAGAGGTAGAGCAGCACTTTTTGTGCCAGTGAGATGGTGGGTAGCCTTATTCCATTTCACAGTAGGCTACAATTGGTATCCCAGTCAGATGAAGGATAGTGAATCTCTGTATGATCACAGGAGAGAAGAGGGTGATTACCATAGCTGTATAAGACACTGTCAAGACAAGTGGTGATCTGAAATCTTCAGATCAAGAGCAAAACACCCAGAAGATGCTCCCCAGACAAGCATGTCTTTAACAGACAAAAATTCTGTGGTCAAACAAAGTGATGTAAGAGGTCAAACAAAGTGTTCTAGTAGTTATTCTGGTCCTTTAAAAAATGTAAGACAAAAAGAAGTAAACAAAACAGCTCTTTGCTAGCACCCAGGATTTTAATTTGGACTTAAATCTGGTTTTGAAGCATCCCTCCACCTCTACAGTCTTTTTGAACTGAAAAGACAGAAAATTGTTCCAGAAGTATGGGCTTCTAGGAAAAAAAAAAAAAAAAAAAAGGCTTTACTCACCATCTTAGATGAGACAAAATGGCTAATACCTTAAATTATGTTTCAGGCAGAAGTTGCTGTTCTAGAACTGCTTTTTTCTTCTCCATCCAAAATGGCTATTGGAAGGCTTTTGAGTTTAAATATTGCATCAACAGTGGGTAAATAGAGCAGCTCTTTGGTCCTGGCATGGGACCAGGATGAGGTCAGATTTGCTACAATAACAAAAACTGTCAGAATTTAGAAAATGATTTAACAGTGGCAACAGTATAGCTGCTGGCACTGGCTGATTGCATGCAAAGGCAGCTGTACCATAAGAGTCAGGGCATTAATTTTATTGCTCTTTGGCATTTTCTTTCTTCAGCTCTTTATATACCACCATTTCTGTGGAAGATTATTGCAGAGCAGACACTCTGTACTAGACCTAACCACACGGCTAAAGCTATTTCATTCAGGATTTAACTGGAAAACACTTTCTACTCTAAAAGATGATGGGAAATGGGACTTTAAATCGTTTTACCCCCAGACCAATACAGCAAAAAGAATCCTGCAGTGTTAAGCTCCTGACTTCATTTTTCTCTGAGTGGTGTTGCTTTAGCTACTACTTAGGGTCCAGAACAGGCTATTCAGTTGCAATAATGTCCCTCCCTGTGGCTACAAACAAAGTTATTTGCCCTCCCTCACCTTTGCCAGCCCAACAGGCAAGCACAGTACCAGGGCATTGGACTTTGCACTCTCTAGCAGTCAATAATTTTATTTTTAAAATTTTATGTCTGTTTTTTGAACTGCTTGGGGTCCTTCAAGCTCCCTCCCCCCGTTTCTGTAGGAGTCAAAATGAGCATGTTGTCAGTAGGTATGGACAGGCCTCCAGCTGTTTTCAATTGATGTCCTAGTACAGAATTAAACCTTGAAACAGAGCAGGCAGGACAGCATGAGTCACTGGGAAAGGACAGGAACACGAGGGCAGTTTAAAATAGTTTCTTTCTCCCAAGAGTGGTTCTTTTCAGAGGCCAGCTGCAGCACAGCACTTGGTAGTGTCTTCAACCTGAAAAAGGTTGTGAGCCTTGTCTTTTGGGCCCTGTCTTCATACTCAATATTTATTTGCTGCTCTTCATTTTCCCCAGCTCTACATATCACTATCATTTTCCTGGATTTTCCCTTTTCCTCCATTGTTTACTTCCTTACCTGTGTTGTAACAATGAGAAGTGCCTGGAGATGTGTTCTAGCCACATCCCAAGCCTGTACTGGGGAGCTATGTAGTTGTGCCCCCCTGGCAGGGATCTAAGATGTGCTCCCCAGGTGCACTGATGTGGACTCCAGCAAGGGGGTCTTGAGGACTACAGAGCACTCTAGACAGACCTATGGTTCTTGCTGGCCAAAATGATTGTAGACGGAAACAGCTTCTGTATGAATCATCATGACTCTTTGTTCTGAAGTACTTTTCCTTAGAAGCAATGATGTATAGTCTAGCTGTGCTCAAAATAAAGCTTAGTATATCTATTTCAATAATTGAACATAACTGAAAAAAAAAAAATCTGCTGCAAACAAAGTTGAGAAATAGCGTTTTAGAGTTTGCTATGGATGTCAGTCAATCATAAGATGGCACAATGACAGCTGAGCTTGTTCTGTGTATAATTTTGTTATTCTGGGTTACATCAAATCTTGACCACATACAGTTAACAAACTTAACACTCCACAGCTAATGCTTTTCCAAACTCTGAACCCAACCACGTTCTGATAAGTGTGCTATACACAAGCCACCAGCAAATTCACGGTGTTTTGCACTGGTTTAATTTCAAAACTTTGAAACTGCTGCATGATCAGAGTGAGCACTTCCTACAATGGTTTGAGGAAAACCAAAGTATGATTAGTTCAAACCCAGAGATCTTTTTTTTTTTTTTTTTTTTTTAGTTTTTATTTGTTACTTTTTGTTTGTTTGGCTGGTTGGTTGGGTTGGGTTGGGTTGGGTTGGGTTGGTTTTGTGTGTTTGTATGTGTGAGGATTTCCCACTGCTCACAAGGGCAAAGACTTGAGGTGGAAGAGAAGGATGGCACTTCAGTTTTTAATTTTCAGCCATGGTCACACCAAACACAAAGCTGTGCTCTGCTGGGCAGGACAAGTGAGACCTCTGACCATCTTTTGGCCAAGCCCATGAAGGCTGGTTGCACTCCCTGGTCCTACCAGCACCCAGGGAAGAGGGCAGGCTGCAGGGCTTGAGCACACTGATTTTCCTGAGCTCTGATGTATGGGAGAGGTGCTGTGGAGGCCTTGGGGAGCCTGCTGCTAGCATGGAGAGGGGAAGCATGAGGAAAGAGGAGGACTACACACAGGAGGGTGGAAGGAAGGATTACAACACCAGGAGGGAAGTGGCCTGCCTTCACAGATGGGCCTCAGAGGTAGTAGCAGCAGTGGGCCTGCCTGTGGTGGGTACTGGTAGTATTTAGAGACGAGAGGTTTAAATGAAGCCATTGGGAAAGGGGAGGACTGAGTGAGGCCTGCAAAACACCCTGTGAAGGAAATTCAACCAGGATCTCTTGTATTAAAGGAGATGGGAGCAGAGCCCAGCCATGTGGGAAGATTGCTGGGGGAGGCAAATAGCCCAGGGCCTTGCCAATTGCAGAGCTGTGGGCGCTGAGGAGGAAGGGTGTCTATGGGCCTGGGCCCCAGCCACCGCTCCAAATCTGTGTGGAAACGTGGCCAGGTGCAGTGGGACAGCCAAGCAGCTGTAATGTGCTCTGCCTCTTCCTAACAGACCTCAAACGCCGATGCAAGACTTCTCCCCATGCTAGCTTAAAGCCGTGGTTGAGCCGCTCTGTGCTTATTCAGCCAAACTTTCAAGCATGTGGTTAACTTCTGGGCACATGAGTCAGTCCCTGGGACTCCGGTGGGACTAAATCATGTGCTTAACTTTTAATTTGTGCTCAGGCACTTTGCTGAACAGGAAGGGGATCTCCTATGTACTTGAGGTTAAGCAAAAGCACTTCAGCACTTGGCTGGGACAGGACTAACTCAGGAGTCAGTCTGCCGAAATCAAGACCTCCAGACTCACTGAAAACAGAAAGAAATGAGAGAAGAATTAGGCCTACTCTTTTTATGGAGCTTTTCCTGCTGGTTGTATCTGTTGATGTCAGCAAAAGCTGAGATACCTAAAAAACAAAACAAAACAAAAAACATTCATGCTTGTTTCAACATTATTTAAGGGATAACAGAAACCAGGAAAGGAGACCACCATTATGCAACTTCCTATCTTTAATAATACTGTATAAAAAGGCCAGCTCTGATATTGATCCTGGTTTCCTTCTCTCATTGCTGCAAAATTTTCGTAAAAAACATTAATCATCACAAGTATCATAAACTAGAGGTGTCACTGAAGGTGTATACTGATGCAAGAGAAAGGAGAATTTGGACTGATCTTTACAGGCATCTGCTCTGTGCAATTCATGCTGTTGATCACAAGCATCCAAACATTTTTGTTCTATTTATAAATAAACCAAGCCTTTTACAACTTACTTCCTGGTAAAAAAGTGTTTTTTAAGCCACAGAAATCCTTTGTATCATGTGTAGAGCTCATTCTTCTGGGAAACTTTGTCCACTGCCTATTGTATACTGAATGCTTTGTTTCAAGCTTGCAGAGGTTGTTCTGGATGCTTCCATACAGTGTTACTCTGTCTGTGTTTAACAAGTATTTAAAACCCAGAGCATGTATTTGTAGCAAGAATGAGAATATGTGGCTGTATGTCAAGAGCTATTGAAAAACAGAGCCTCCCAAATGCTAGGGGAGGGGAATTGCTGCAATTATCAGCAGGAAACTTATGGAAGCCTGAAATAATAATAGGAATAATAGAAACCTAAGTATGATTTAGAAATGTAAATAGTTTTCCGTTCCAGTTCAGGGCAACTGCAAAATCCTATTTCAGATTTTTTGTTCTAAAGTTCCAAGAGCATGGCTATATATTTCAGAGTTTCTGGGAAACTGTAGTCAAATATCTCGAGTGGGATGCGAAATTCTGGCTTTTTACATACATGTAAATAGTAAAGCTATTAATGTGAAAGCCACACTCTCTCAAGCAGGAAAGCTTGAATAAAGACCAGCTAGTAGCCATCATGACATTAGTTTTATGCTTTTTGAGGACAGCAGGAATCACTGGGTGTTTTCTAGGGATAGTGTTTTGTGCAGACACTGTGTACATCACACGCAGAAGCACAAACCATGAAAATTTCAGATCATTCTACTAGTATTCACTCGACAGCTGTCTGGGAATGCACAGACTCCTAGGTACTTCCTTTTCCTCTGTCTTAAACTAGAAGATAAAAATATACTCACTGTGGTATGCTCTAAACAAAAGTTTCAGTATGATTTTTTTCTCTCACTGGTGTCTAGCAATATCACTATATATGCTGCTGTACTCCTTGTTAGGTTCACAAGTGAATATTATATGTCTGTGTGGTAAACATTACTCTGCCTACTGCACTATATTGACTCATTTTAGCAGCGGGATTTGCACCATTTGTAAAAACAAGTCCGTTTCTCCCCCTCTCAGAATTCCCATTAAACATTCAACAATTTGGAGTCCACCACCTTTACTTTCATCATTTCTACAAATGCATTAAAACTGAATTTTGTAATGAGATTCACAGGGCAATTAGAGGACTGTTTCTAGACTGGCAGTGGAACCAATCAGTTGTCTCAGAACAGCATTGACATGAAATTACACTGACATAATTTCCAACAGCAAAAGTTTCATTCTTCTTGAGAAGAAAGTGGGGTATGGTTGCAGCAGTAACCCCCTAAACTTCAACTGAGACAGATGCAGCATTAGACTAGAATGTCCCCGATTACTTGAACAAAATGCCTGGTTTAAATAATTTTGAATCTTTTTCTTCAGGAAGATTACACATCATGGAAAAGCTGGTAGCAGAATGTCCTGGTTTCAGCTGAGATAATTTTATTCATAGCGACTGGTATGACATTTTGTTTTGGATTTAGGATGAGAATAATGCTGATAACACACAGATGTTTTAGTTATTGCAGAGTAGTACTTACACTGAATAAGGGATGTTTTAGCTTCTTGTGCTGCCTTGCCAGCAAGGAGGCTGGGGATGCACCAAGAGCTGGGAGGGGACACAGC